GTGGTTAGAAGCACCCCCATTCTGAAAGGTAAATGGATGGTAGAAAAAGAAGAAAAGAATTAATATAATGAATGAAATCAAAACCTTATCATGTAAGCTTCTAATATAAATTAACTATCTTACAATATCATAAAAAGTAGTATGTCATTCAATGAACAAATATTTTAGAACTTCTGTTAGAATTATTCGGTCATATGTTTCTAATTAATACATAATATGAATATTTTGTTTTGTTACTTCCATCTTTTTTTTTTTCATGTTATTATAATATAAAATTATAATCATGATGTAAACTTTACATTAAAAAAAATATGCAATTTCGTGTTTTATAGGTACACTTTGTATTTAAAGTCCTCTTGCATAAGATTACTAAGCAAGAGAGAAAAACAGTAAGAATATGAATGAATAAATCTGTATGAGAACCACTACATCTCATAAAAGTTTAATCATTCATATAACTTTATATATAAATGAACAAATGAAATATGTGTTTATTTACAACATTCGGCTACTAAAAATGTTCTTTAAAACATTAAATAAACAGCAACCAGCTCATTAAAACTTCATTAGCAGTACTCAAGTAGATAATTACTCTGTTATTTTATTGGGGTAGTGTAAGTAGTTTTTTATTCATTAAGTAATAATAAAATAGCACTGATTTCTCGTACTTACTAAGTTAAATACTTGATATGTCTGGAGGGTTTCCTATAATTAACCACTTTCAAACTAAAAACTCACAGAACTACTTAATAAGAACATAAGGGCACACAAGCTCTGGAACTTTGAGCCAAAATGGTACTGCTGCCATCATGTAAGCAACATAGGCAGATTCAAATATTAAAGCTTTAAAAAAATTTCTTACAGCAAGAGAAAAAATCATAATTAAAAAAATACTTCAATTATATAATTGAATTGTATTATGTAATTACTTTAAATAAATATATAAATTACAGTAAAAATAGTTACATTCATTTATTCAGTGTTGCCATAATTTCCCAAATAGTTGTGCAATAGTTCAAGTGTCTGTATATTTATAATTTGTGAAAATGAAAATGTCTTAAACAACCAGGAACAATCCCTTTACTGACAATTGCTATAGGTAATTTAAATTATTTTGCCCATTGAGCATTAACATTAAATATTCTCCTCTCATAAAAAACTTTAGTTTTTAACCCAACAGTCACTATTTTGTTTAAAATAATGTACAGCTTCAAATACTTTAATTTCAATCTGTTTAGGGACAAACTATTTTTCTTATTAACTGTAAATATTTGTATTTATACATTTATTGATAAAATATGCAATATAAAAGTATTTGTATTCATATCAATACCAATACAATTATTTTATATTAACTTTTTAGTTTTATATTATCCTGAACTGTAGTAATATTAATTTAGGAATGATAAATAAAAGAGTAATAATATTAATTGCTAAAACACTGCTAGGCTTTAACTAAAACAAAAAATATCGCTGTTTCTTCAGTTAATAAGTAGTTAAAATTACTTAAAATAATTAATAACTAATTAAAGTATAAACTGTTCCCATGTAAACTTAAATATTTTTACTAAACTGTTTATAAGTTTCTATCTTCATATGAATAATAATTGGAATTCAAAGATACATTTCATGGCCTAAGCTCAAAGATTCTTTCCATAAGTTGTAAAAAGTATGGGGCACATCAGTATCTATTTTCTTGCCCAACAGAATTATGGATAACATTTTGTCAGACTTATACATTTAGATATGAAAACTGTTGAAACCTAATGATGTACCTAATAACCAAAGTTATAATGACTTTCTTTTTAGATCACTATAGCAGATGATGATCCTTCAAACATGTTAAGAAAATTATGGCTGTCTTCTTATTCTGATGCTTAACTTATCATTTATGTACTCTTTTGGTACTGGTGGAGAAAACTAGCAGGGCAAGTATGCTCTATCGTAATCCTTTTTGCCAATCCCTGAGGGCTACATTGAGGTTTCCACCATTTACTTACCAGAGTAGGAATATCAAGATTCAGCGGACGGCCATCCTGCCCTCCCTATATACTCTATACATAGTATCTATTTCTCCAGAGCTTCGTCTCCTCTTTGACCCATTCCATAACAGGTTGACTACAGGGCATCGATATGTAGTGTTCCGTCTGTCAAGAGCATAGTGTGTATGGCTCTTATAATTTCTACTGTTAAGGGCTTACCTACCTAATGTCAAATACATATAAATAAAGTAAAACAAATTCAAATACCTAAAAAACATACAAAAATTTTAAAAAAATATGGTGGCATATTGTACCTGTTTTGATATTATCAGTTGGCAGTCAAACTGTTAAAAACCCTAACATGAACAGGTGTAATGACAGTGTTTTCATTTCAGATATATTTTTATATTTTGTATATAATTTTATGCAGATTGTTTATGTATAACTATGTTTTATTCGATTTGTTTTATCTGTTTATTGAAACTACAGAAAAATCTGTGGAAGCATGATGCAGTTTTCTTATTGACTCGGAACACTGGCAGACTTGCTGTAAGTCGATAATTGGCCTCTTTAAGGTAAGTAAAAATTTTATTTTTATAATTAATAAAATACAACTTACTTTTAGATTAAATTACTGGACTAGTTTGAATTTTAGAAAAATTATGAGTTCATTTCCTTTGGTCATTTTTCTTTTCTTTTTTTTTGGAGGGAGGAAATGATAATACTGATAATTGTTATAAATTAATAATAGCATCAAATGCATAGCAAAACATCCTAAATCAATAGAATAATATAATGGTGAAGGTAAAGCTCATGCAACCTTAGAAATTTAATCAACAATTGTTCCTTCACCTTAAACATACTTAATTATAATGTGAAGAAATGCTGTCTATGATGCATGGCTATAATAGTATAATCATGGTAATATTACAATAACAAAGCTATTAAAGGATTTTGTAATTCTTTTTATATTCAACCATAATTTTTATAAACCATATGTTTAATGTTCCCTTTGGACTGAAGTAAATACAATAAACCTTGTATAATTTATAATTTTCTTTGTAAATAAATCTATAATTTGCTAAATTTGAGCTTACACGCTCAGAGATTTTTCACTGAGTTATTTGTATTTTCAATTTCTGTTTCATTTCACCTCTATATATCTTACTCATTTCTCTATACACCACACAAAGTCAAAGTGTTAGGAAGAAAGACATTTATACTTTTCATATCAATATTCCTTTTATTTATTTTATTTTTTATTGATACTTAAGATCTGGACATTTCATTATTTGTGATGCTTTTTATAAATAATTTTGTTAGAAATAATTATTGAAACAATTTTAAAATTAAAAATTTTGAAAATTCTATTTGAACGTTGTTAAATTTTTTTTTTCTATTTTCTAGATCGGAGGTCATATGTATAATTATAATAGACATGCATACATAAATTTTATAAATTGAAGTAATTTTTCCCACTGTTTTAAGGCTTCTACTTTTTCTAAACATCCTATAAAATTATAAGCAACTATTTTCATTCGATTTTGCCTAACTAGAGCTGTCCTCAAGCTAATCATGCACCATATGCAGTTACTTTAATAGCCTTAGTTACTCCAAAATAGCCATGAACATGACATGTAACTGAATAAACAATCCGGCAAAGAAAGACCGATAAAAATTAATATGAGTTTTATTTAAAATGTAGATAACATATAACATATAACATAGAATGGTCAGATAGTGAAAACATGGTGAAAATAAACTTTTACTTGTGTCAATTGGCCTTCTTTTTTAGAATATCATGCCACCGAAGATAGAATATATTACTACAAAATAATAGCTATATTCTTAGTTATTACTAGAAAAAAATAACTGTTTTAAACGCATGACTAATTGTGAAATTGGTTAAATAAAAAATATATATATTTTTTTCATTGGTCATTATTTGTTAGCTAATATATATTTACAATAAAATTGTAATGCTGCTCACCTATATTGAGTTGCTAACTGACACAGTATACTAATTTACTTGGTAGACAATATCTAAAAAAGTATCCTGATACACTTTGTATATAAAAATGTCATTTGATGTTCCTTTCTTTTCTCTCAATTATGTCACCTGGAACCATAAAGCAATGACCTGATTTAACAGAGGAATGGTGCAGGATTCCCAATGAGTCCAAAATAATGGACTCCGCCATATTCTGTGTATCATACCTTTCAACACCTTTTCCAAAAAACTAGCAGTTGAAACAGAGATTGCCCCTCTACTTCCTAACCAAAGTCCTCTCACCAAAAAATGTCTCTCCCCTAATCCCTCTGTATATTTCTCTTTCAGGTAGGGAATCCATTTTTTATATATTTCCTCCTTCTCAATTTGCATTTTGAGACCTAGGTGCTCATCGTTCTTCACATATCTAATTTTAGGATCGACTATAAGAGCCTCCTTTCCTTTTTCACTAAAGGCCTAGATGTCTACAAATCTTGCTGAGCCTGCCATATTCAGAAAATACACTTCGAGGAAGCATTTATAATTTTTCGTCTCCAGGTATTTGGATATTTGAAACTTTATATTATTGTCCTGGCAGGTGACGAGGAACATGTTATATAGACCCTTTTCCAATACATGAGCTGGAGTTTCTGACTCTCGGCCACATTTGCAACAGAGGGATCCATCTCCAATTGTCTGACCTCCGGTCCCTGAAGAGTTGACATTGTTATTTAGGTTTGAATTTTCCTATCATACATAAATTTGTTAGCCCATTGGTTTGACTTAAAAATGTGGCACATCTATTCTCTGCCACTTACACTTGCTCCAATCTTCAAATTACTTTTCTCTCAGAGACTGATTAACTTTCTTCGCAGATATTGACGCTTCTATATTATTTTTATTTGCATCGAAACTCAACAGGTCAGCACATAGATACCAGCAATTTTTTTATGATATTAAAGGAAATTAAATTTATGATATTGCTAATGTAAATTTTTAGGGTTTTCAAATAAAGAAAACAAATAAAATAATAACATATATGACTATATATTTATCAAGGTATATCTTTAACAAAATATTTACAATGTAAGTAAAATATGGTCCTCAATTAATTCCTAAAAATACTGCAAACCCCTGCATTTACACTATTTTCAACAATGAAAATATTACAGATTTAAGTAAAAAGGAAAAATGAGACATTTAACAAAGGCACTGGAAGAAACCTATCACAGAAATCGTTGTCTTCAGTTTCCCTAAGTCAAGTACAATATTTGTAGAGTCTATGTACAATATAAAACAAAGGGAAATTTTTCCTCACTATTGCACTTGTGTTTCACGCACCGCAATAAAATAAACTAATAAACTCTGGAATATTAATTTATTATTAAACTAATATTTACAATTATTGAGCTCTCTTTTTCACCAGCACTTCTACATTTCGTAGTCTTTTTTTTATTTTGCTTTTTACTGAACATTCATTAAGTAGAAGAGATCATACAAACAATTCAATACCTATCACATTTTTTAAAAATAAATTTTGTTATTAATAAATTTAATGGAATTAGGCACAGTGATTAATTGACATTTTAGTCTATCGGAATCGTAAGCACCAATAAAGTACTGATTAAATATTCCGACCGTGAGTAAATATAAAGAATATATAAAATATACAGTTTTTCATCTCTCTTAAACAATGATCGATAATTAAAGTTTATTTATTTATAATATTTTTATTTTTTTATAAATGCAACTAAAAACAAAAATAGTATAAAATATAAAAGAAAATTGTACTAACAAATTCTATAAAATACTGTTTCTATAGAGAAAAAAAAAATTGTTACTCTAAATACACTATATATGCCTTTCCGATGGCTGGTAAATTAAAAATAAAATATTTTTTTATTATTTCAATAACGCTACAATTGAATTTATATTCCAATTTTAAAATTTATACATATTAATATGTAACATTGTACATTAATAACATAATCTACCAAGTTTCTGCAATTTATAAATAATTCATTGCAACATTTACTGCACATTAATTTTAGTTTTATCATTATTAGTAGTTTAAAATTAGTATAAATGAACCTGAATACAATAGCCTCTTTTTTGAGAATATAAAGAACAAAACAAAATATCTTTTTAAATCTTTGCCAGTGGAAAAACAACAACATATATTAACTGATAAAAATTAAATGCAATAATAACAATATTTTTTAAACACATATACTGAATAATTGTTTAGATTAGCAACGGAAACAACAAAATAATTTGTAATGATGAATTCTTCTTTCTTGATTAATCTGATTTATCACATTTTTTCCTTCTCTTTGGACTTGTTATAATATTTTATAATAGAAACGAATCAAATTCTCTGAAACAGTAAATTAAAATTAGCTATCATGTCGAAGATGAAGTTGAAGATCAATATCTTGACATTTTAGAGTTCGTTCAAAACCAACGAACGACACTTCTTGTTGAAATGTTCATAAATTATATTTAAGTAAAGAAATAATATATCTTTCCTTTCTCTACAACACCAAACAGAATTATATTTTACACAATTCTTGAATCCCACAACATTTGCCCAAAACCTTCTTTCATTTTTTCATCTAAAAAATTTGTTTTTTGTTATAATCAATTCCGCTAATCCATATTCTGAGTTTTAAACATTTTTTTTCTTTGTATAAGTATATAGAGATTCCTCCAGTTGCCAATCTTCTAATTAAACTACATTATTTTCTTCATTATGGGTATTGCGCACCAAGACTTAGATGTTTCAACACATTATCTCTTATATTTAACTTTAATATTCTATGTTTTGGGATTAATGAGGTACATATGTGGGAATTCGACTGAGATTATTCCTCAGCCCGTGGATATTGGCAGTATTATCTCACGTCAGACACCTGCCGTTGATTGGAATTAAAGTACGACATCTTCGAGGTCATTTCCATCAGAAGGCCAAAACTTGGAGAGACCAGAGAGGTCATTTGTCGGGCGGCTGATGGCAGTGGACACAGTGGAGGCAGGACGGACATTGGCCAAGTCTAGAAGACAGGAGTGACCTCAGCCTGAGTGCTGGACCGAGCCTCATGCCTAGTCTTGTGGTCAGGTGGTCTTCAGTCAACAATGGCAGACTTGAACCATCTATTCTCTGCTCTCGGAAATTCTGAAAAAAATAAATTGAAAATATTTATTTATAATGTAAAAAGATGTTATTTAGGAATTCATAAGTATTATCTCACAAAATAACAAAGCACTAAAAATTAAATACTATTAATCATTTGAAAGTTAGAAAAAGTGGTAATAAAAATATGATTCAATCAGGATTTATTAATGATAATAAGACCTATAGTAAACGTTTAAAAAAACTGAAAAATGTTCAATAAAATATAGCCTCGATTCAATTTTGTATATGGATCAAAGTCAATGTTCAAGTAAATTAAGTAATGAATTACCAGATGCTTAAGTTGAGGAAAAATGAGAACAGAATAAAATTTACTGTTGAAAGAAGTTTTTTATTGTTAAAATATCACTAAAAATTTACTGTATTATAATGTAAATAATGTTAGTTTTAAAGCAAATAACTAAGCTGTTGTTGCGATTTGACTGGGCATGAGTTGAGTTGGATGTTTAAGCTCAGGTATGAATTCTTTTATTTTAATTACACCCCATGGCTTGATAGGGAAAATACAGATTGTCCACTCTGTAACCTACCAGTAAATGAGGACCTATTCCTTTTTTGGCTGAATGTTAAATGCTTGGTCAAATTCGTATAGAATATCTTAGAACTAGCCCAGTTCGAAATAATATTTTAATTTCTCTTCTAAATGTTTCCTCTATGAACAAATGTCGTAAAATTGTCAGTTTTGCTTGACATGCGGTGATCCACCGTTTTAATTTGCTACATCCAGCATAGACAATGATCCGTCTAATTTATTTGTGATCAGTTTTATTCATATTATTGTTTATGATTTTCCTCATTTTTCTTTATTATTATTTCTGCGATATAAATTATTCAAAATACTCATTATTTTATATTTGTATTTGTTGTTTAAGTATTTATCAGTTATGCATGTATATGTAATTATTATAAAGTCTTTATTTGTACTGTACCAGTAAAACGTTAAAATTTCCGGCAGATGAATAAAGTCATATAAATGTTCTGTTGTATATTTTGTGAAATTTATAATTTATATATATTCAATAAATTAATAAAATGAAATAAAAAACATTAATAATAATAAAAAAAAATGGTAAAGAAATATAATCTTTATAAACTTATACGGAAAAGTAAATAAAATCATTCATTAGTTTATGTACAGATATTTTCTTAGAAATTAATAAATCAACTGTTAACATTATGGAAATTAGAAAATCTTTAATCTATTTTAGGTACCAATCAGTTCAAATATGTCATATCTTTCCTTTACATGTAAGAAATGTGTTTTTAAATATTAAAAAATTGCTGAATATGTTTATGATGATATGAGTGTCCATTACTTTATGATATGGACAGATGTATGTTCTAGAATATAATCTTTATCATCTTTTTGACATCTATAACTTTGAATTTAAATTCTTGAATTTAAATTCTTGAATTTTTTAATAAATAAATAAGAAATTATAATATTATTGCTTAATTTAGTAGCACTGTTCATAAATGTGCATTAACAGCTATTTATTTTTAATGTTATAAATATATATAAGCGTTTAAAATTATTTACTAATTATATGTACTATTTATTTTCTTAAATTTTAGTTTAACGGAGAAGATTATTAATACTTAGTTTTTCAATTTTAATTCCACATTCTTTTGAGTATATAAAACACATCCAACGGATATAAGTAATTCTCAGAATTTATTTAAATATTCAGAAAAAACTAGTTGAACTGTAATGGCAACACTGATTGAAAGCGCGGACAGTAGAGAAGGTTCTTGTAGTTTTGTGGCTAAGTGCGGTTTTGTTTTAAGTGAAAATTGATTATTATTTTGCAAGAATGAAGGTGTAGGACTATTCTGATCCAGAGAGGACGTATCGTAAGCTTATAATGTAAGTTACATTTCAATACTTTTGTTGAAATGATTGTTGCATTACTACATTATTTTTCATGAGATTTATTAGCATAATATTGAACCTGGTAATTGTTTATTTAAAACCATTTTTATATAACAGATTGCACTCTGGTTATGTGCCGTAATTATATTAGATTTTTACCATATTGATGCATTTAATTATTGCTACTACTTTAGAAGTATGGCTCAGTTTTCGTGATTGGTCCCAAGATCTCATGATCACACTGTAAATGTGATTCGGAGAAGGGTAGAATATTGATGAGTTTACATTAATTTTAATTCGTCTTTTCTTTTTATAGGATAGGTGACTATTTAGATAGTATAGTAGCCACTCATTTATCGTTAAAAAAAACCGAATGAATATCTTCAGATCCTAGACAATATCTTCTGATCCTAGATCAAGACAACATATGAGTGGCTTCATATCAAAAACGGACATCTGTCATTTTCAGCGTGGAGAAAAAGTCAATTTTTGTTTTATAGATTCAACCCTGCACTGTTTCTGGTGCTTTTAATTTAAAATGTTGAAGTTGAGATATGAAGGAAAATCATTAGAAATGGTTTCAATTGAACCTATGTTACAGAAAATTTGCTTTTTCTCAACTTTTTAAAAATGATCCACATTTGATATGAGGCCACTCATATCATTTATTAAAATGGCGCAATTAAATTCTTCCAGTTTATTATCTTTTCACTAGATGATGTTTATTCTGAGAATAAAAAAAGGATCTCTAGTCCATCATCTTCTCATCCATCCTGATCTAGCGGCATGAGATGTGTTTCTTCTACGTGCCCCTTGCTCTGCCTTGCTCTAAAAGCGGCACTCGTGTCGGAACAATATAACTTCAGATCCTAAACGAACCCCCCAAGAATTCCTATTAGATACGAATTATAACTCGGTCACGACAAAAATTACGGCAATGCCTTTTAAGCTGTGCTAATAAGGAACGATTTAAAAATACCTGAAGCGACCGACGGAAAGATGGCCCCAAAAAGGTTTTTCTGATTAAACGACCCAGGTTTGTCGTGGCACGGGTGGAAATCGTCATTAAATTAAGAGAGACCTACCACACGATTTGTGCGGGCTTTGGAAGAACTTCGTCACGTAGGAAATGACCATCTAATACTGGCATTTTATATTATATTAAGTTTGTATGTTAAATATATTTGAATTTAATTTAATACAAATTTAAAATCAAAATGTAAAAAAAAAAAATGTGATCCACGAAATATGGTGGATTGAGTGCAAATGAGGCAACCCCCAAAAACAGATCGAGAGGAAGTTTACCTTATAAAAGAGAGAGTTAAAAAATATATCGTTTTTATATATATATATATCTTTTCCACTATTTTTTTTTTTTGGGTACATAAGAAAACTATACGCATACAATTCACTGAGATTATAATTTTCCTTTAACTGAACAGAATAATTCAATAAAAATTCCTTGAATAAATGGTTTAAAGTTTAAGAACTTACATAACTTCCGACTACAAACACGGAACCATATTTGTTCTTATTGTATAATAGTCGTGATACAGATCCCTTTTTATCGAATTACTAACCTCCGCCTGAAACTTCGGAAATAGTTTCATCTCATCGTAACCTAAAACTATTTTATTTACGAAAACTCTTGGAATTGGGAAGTTTTCAATCTGGAGGGAGGCAAACTTTGTCTATTTAATTAGGTTCTAAAAACTCGTAAATACCCATTACACAAAATCGATGAAAAAAGTGGCCTACAAAAATATTAAGAAGTTTGTCATATATAACCTCGTTATTTTGAAAATTTGCGGAGGTAGGTCACGCCAAACGGCTCAATATTTTTGAAGGCCACCTTTTTTCTCGACTTTGTGATAAAATTATCTTACGATCCAAGTAGAAAGCAAATGTGTATTTACAAGTTTTTAGCACCTAATTAAATATACAAAGTTTACTCCCCTCCAGATTTAAAACGCCCCAATTCCAAGAGTTTTCGCAAATAAAATAGTTGTAGGTTATGATGAGATGAAACTATTTACAAAGTTTCAGGTGGACGTTAATAATTCGGTAAATAGGATTCTCTACCATCGACTATAAAACGTATTGATTCTTAAGGCAAAAAATATTTTATACCCCCGCAGGATACAACGTCTATCTTACATTCGATTGTAGGAAAGCATTAGTAAATCCATACGATTCAATGTTAGACCTGCTTAAAGTATTAAACATTGAATTAATTAAAAAAAAAAAAATATTTAGGAGAACTGTAGGTTCAATAACTTTAAGTAAGGGTATTGGAAAATTTAGATATTTTCATTTCGATATATCTTAATATCGCTATTGAATCCTGACTGTCGAAAAGCGATATTCCCCAAAGCTCCCTCCAAAAAAAACTTTTAAAAAATTGCCTCCTGATCTCAAATTAGAAATATAAAAATAAGTCTTTTGCATTCCGAGTATAATAGATTTTTACGATAAAATGGGGTATGTTCAATAATTTTCTGATTCCCACTTATTACTCGTAATATAATTTTTCTTTCCAACGTTTCCTTTCATTTACGCCTCATTTTAATTATATACACCTCAGTAAGAATAACATGCACACTGCATATCTACAGGTGGTTCCATTATATATTAGTAGAAGTTTTTATTACATAAATACTGAAAAAGTAAATTTAGTACTTGCAACTATGATGATGTTTTTATTAATATTTTTTTTAAATAATTTATTCGTTTTAAAAATGGCATAAGAATACTTTTTTAGACCCTGAATGTTTTAAATATGATATGTACAATCTCTTACGAGGCCGTGTATTTTAAAGAACGCCAACTGTTTTTTTTTAAATATAGTGTTGCGTAAAAGGAAAGATAATTCTATTCGACTAGTCAGTTTTAATTGCTACACAGCACTGGAATCGCGTGACCCTCTCCCGGTAATTATAATTGATTAAATTCCTGAGCTTATTCTCATAGGAATTTTGGATATATGTCAAACAGATCACAACATAGGAAATCTAGTACGACTGAATATTGCATAACTTGTCGAGGCGTAGATATAATTTATTTTTTTTTAACTCAGTTTTTTTTTCAAAAAAATAATCCAGAATAGAATACATCTCTCAAAAAGTGGGAACTTTGAGCGAGGTGGCCTATTTCTTTTCGTAATCCTCTCTCCTCCCTCTACGTAAACAAACCAAGATACTCTGCCAGGAGATGAGTCCTTCTATATTGACATTTTCCTCGAACAGCTTAAGACAAATATTTGGAGAGAGGTGAAATTGAAATTTATGTCATCAAGTGTCTCACCGGAGATCCTTCCCTACTTTTGAGTATCTTCAATTTTTTTAAAAAACTTTTTTGGTATATTATTTCTCATTTGAATCTTTATTTAGCAAACGCGTTTAGAAAAGGTGTTCTATATTATATTGCCCTGAATAATTATAACGCAGTATCTTAAATAAAATAATTTTCTGAGACATACACATGACTTTAATCAGAAAAATATGTCTTTAGTTTAAATGTGATAAAGACAAAATCAATTTTCTTTATTTAAATCTCTTAAAATGGACTTGTGACATTTTTAAGATACAGCGTTCTCCCTAAGCAGAGAGCAGGATATTTTTAAATAATATTTTTTGAAAACCATCTTCCTCAATTTCCGTAAACCATAATAATAGTAGTATAATAATAACATTTCCGATCAAGTATTGTTAACTATTGTGCAATTATTAAATAATATTAATAATAATAAGCAGAAAATTGGATGTTCACTTTTATATTAGGTGAAAGGAGATTGTATAAGATTGCTAAACAAAAATTTTCTCTTGTTGAACTTAATCCTGCTATGATTCATTGATAATCGAATTTATATCATTAAAAAGTAATATTGCAATTATATAGTTATAATTATTTGATACTTAAAAGGAAAGTATTGGAAGAAAACCATTATTAGGATTTTTTAAAGATGGAGCGAATTTAATATTGCTGCCTTTCTTTTTTTTTTTTTTTACCTCGATTTCCTACCTCACCGTTTCTGGCATACGGAGGATCGTTCTAGAGGTACATCCAGAGCTATTCTAACCAGAGTGGAACGGTCGAAATGTTTTTTTTTTTTTTTTCGAAAGAATTGTCTCGTAATATTAACTCATTTTATTTACTTGAATAAGATTAAGATGGCAAATTTATTGTGAGCCAGAAATATGTATAACTAAGAAATAATAAATAATAAAAAGATTAAATTAACTCAATCGATTGCTGCATTGGGTTTGTTGAGAAATATAAAAAATCAATGTATGTTGAATTTCTTTATATTTATATATATATATATTTACTAATTTCCGTATTGAGTTGTAGGGACTGGTGGCCGGAGCATAAAAAGTTTTGGCATCTTAACATTTTTTTTTAAAGTGAAAACTTCTTTAAGCGCGTTTTGCACTTTTTTGTGAAGAGTTAATTATATTGAGCCGTCAGATTTCCGATTTATAACTTTCGGATAAAGTCGGCTGGAATCGATTAATTGAAATGTTTTTGCATATGGATTAAAATATTAATAAAAATCGGATATGATATTGTTAGTGAGGGAAATTTCTCATTTCATGCTCTTTGTAATGAGCTATTATTCAAAATTTTATCTTAATGCGACAACGTGTTAGAGAAGCAAAAAGGGAAAAAATTATGTCGAAAACTAAATTGTAACAAATTTCATGGTAGATTATATTCATATTCTTAATCTTGCCTTGATGGAGTTTTCACTTCTATGGTATGGTCTAAAGCACACACCTTAGTTTTTTTTTGTTCGTTGCCTTAACGACTGAATACGCCGTAAGTTGAATTGTCTAGAATTAATGAGTTGTTTATATTTAGTTTAGTCGACTTTTGGCAGTTAAAGGGAAAATGTCTGTATGATTCTTAATAGTTTGTCAAATTTTTACGGGTGTCGGTATGAAAATTTCAGTAACATAAATTACTTTTGTCAGTAATTAAATCGATCATTGATAGTCGATAGCATTCAGTATTAATGGTTTCAACAGGTTTTAGTAGCTAATTAATAGATCATATCCTTTTGATCCTTCCAAACATAAAGTATTGTCTTATTTACATAGCGACTAGGTCTTTCATGGATGTTGACGGTTGACCCATGATCTCTTTGAAAATATTGTACATCTGATCTCATAAGATATAATTGTCGTGATAAAAATTAAACATACTTAATACACAATGTAGTGCGAATAATAATGATAAGAAGAAGAGAGGAAGGAGAGGTGGTGGGGGTAGCTGCTCTGGTTTCACCTGACGTGGAATGTTACCTCCAAGGCCGCGCTATTCGGTAGCCTAAGAGCGCCACTCCTCTTCCACCAAATGTCAAGTATACATAGTTTTTATTTATTCTATATACATAATTATTTATTATGTATATATACAATTTGAAGATAAGAAACAAAGCCTCAAGTCTTTCAAATATCAATAAAATAAACTAATCAGTTTAAAGTATACCAATGCAGACCAAATACAACATATCCCACATCGACAGTGTAAGGAAACATAAAAATAACATCAACGCAAGAGAGTTGAATACCATACATACTGAAAAAAACGAAAGTTAACCGAGGAAATTCTCGGAATTGGGTCGTTTTCAATCTGGCGATTGGCAAAGATTACCTGTTTAATTAGATACTAAAAACTCGTGAATAACCATTTGCTTCCTACTTGAATCGTCAGATAATATGATCACTAAGTCGAGAAAGAAATGGCCTACAAAAATATAGGTCCAATAGTTTTATAGTGCACCACTTTTTAATCTTTTTTTTCTATTTTGTGATCATATAACCATTCAAGTGGAAATTCATGAGTTTTTAGTACCTTATTAAATAGACAAAGTTTGCTGATCTCCAGAATGAAAACGCCCCAAACCAGAAAATTTTCGTAAATAAAATATTTGTAGGCTACGATGAGATGAAGATATTTACAAAGCTTCAGTCGGATGTTAATAATTAGATAAAAAGGTATCTGTACCACCGACTATGAGCCTTTTGAATTCTTCCAAATATGTGTGATTTGAAGGCTCACATA